GATAATATATATTCCACCAACTCAAATCCCCACTTTTTTTGGCTGCCTAACCATCAACCAATGAAAAACACAGCTCCAAAGCTCTCTGTCTCTCCTTGTGTCTGAATTTTTCTTTTGTTCTTCTTTCATTGTATTAGATTTCTAATAAAATGTTAACTAAGCAATCTACCTAGTAATCAAAAAATCTTAAATAAGGGAACACAAATATTTTTAAATATATATACATATTTACATCCCCTCATATTCAGAGAGATAGACCAACTTGAATTGGAAAGAGAAAATAGAAAAAATAAAGATTTGCACACTACTTCCGATTTTGATCCTGTCATATGAGAATAAAGTTAATAATTTAACGTCTAATAATTACAAGAGTAGTCAATTAATCATACAATAGAGTGTCAGTCCAAGTGGTCATAATTGGCACTTGAGTTGTTGTGTAGTGATGGAGTGACATTAGCTTATTGTGATAATCTAACTTTATTAACTTACTAAATATTCTATCGTGTGACTCAAAAAAAAAAATAAAAATAAAAAATAAAGCAATTTAGACAAAGTGTTGAACAAAAAATTCTAAATAAGAAAAAAAAAATATAAACTACTTTTTATCTCTCAATTTTAGCCTAGACATTGTCAATGGGGACAATAATTATTTGAAACTTTACCTACGAAAGGTAAGATTAAAATGAAAGTGTAAGACAACATACTACATTTGCATAAGAGATTCAGAAGCCATGTGGTTTGCACTGTAGATGATCCCAAGATGATGTATTTCATTAACCAAGAAAGCAGTAGAACCCAGCTAGCTTTGCCTTACTTGGCATTGTTCTCAGAGTACCTTTCAATTGACCCCTGTTACTTTAAATGATTTCCTATGAAAAGTAAATCTATTTATTATTATTATTATTATTATTTACATTTTTTTTTTTGTGTAAACTTAACGATTAATAGAAAAATAAATCATTTATTTCTTTTGTTTCTTTTATCTAATTCATTTTTCTTGTGAGAAAATTTCATGTATGAAAAATAAGTTGTGTTATGTGAATTAAAACTTTAAGAGAATCCAAAGTAATTATGTTTAAATTGTAAAATTTTCTATATTTTCTCAAAATAAGAGGGGAGGTCAATGTAATAACCACAAAGAAGAAAATATTTTGTATAATAATATTATATACCTAGAAAGTTATTCACAAAAGTGTATTTATCGATTTCAATCATTATGAGTGTCGCTCGTGTTCTACTAACTTTAAATTTATATCATATACATATAATAAATATAGAAAAACTCCCAATGTAAGAGAAAAAGCCTCAATAAATACACTTAAATCGAACTCATATCCAAATGAAAAGATTCAAATCGCTAACCTCTTAATGAAATTCAATAGTTCAAACTAATCAAACTAATCCACCATATATCTTACTTTTAAAATAATTTTCGATACACGAATTCATGGTAAATAATATATTTCTATTATGTGTATGGGGTCTACTTGTTTGAAGCATAGGTGTGATTTTTATCAACTAGTAGTACATTAGATTCAAAAGATACTTTCACACTGTATTTAGTTGAGAGATTTGAAAAGAAAAAAAAAATCTAAATAAAATTTAAATAAAAAATACTTACATTTCACTTAATTTCATACATATTTTCTCTTTTCCTTTCTAAATTTCTTCTCAAATTTTCTAATCAAACACAACGTTATGGAACACAGCTAATTCCTAGCTGCCACCATGAAAGATATGCTTACTATTTTTGCTTTAACAGTCTTCAAGTGGGTGGGTTTTGCTTCACGCGAGCTTTGCAAAATGGTGAAGCCAAGATGGTGAAGTCAAAATGCCTGCAATGCTCAATTTAGGCAATCTAGAAGCACCTCATCAATTGTTGTTTCCCAAGTATTGCAGAGGTTTTCAAGAATTAATGAGGTTAAAAATTGCTTAAACCGAGAAAGTATGTGTAATTCAAAATCATGAATAAAAATTTTCTTTTCAAATCACAGTACATAGAAATTTATGTTGATTTTTAATAATTGAGAGTTAGAAAGAGTATCACGGTATGAATATCACTCTTTTAAATAATGACAGAGAATTATGAGTATCACCTTTTCAAATCATATAAAATAGAAATTTTTATCATTCCCTACTGACAAAGAGTCAGAGAGAGGTTTCGATAATTCAATTTTCATGATGCTTTATTTAATGTATATAACAATTGTGAGTGGTGTAAGTATTCATATCTATTTCATCTCCTTATTAATTGGAATGATAAATTATTCGGATTTATCATGATTTAAATTCAAATTAAGTGAGTAACCAAATAAATCTTTTAGATCATACCACAATGAATGCCCAACTGCGAATCCAAAATCCGACTCAAGTTCCCAACCACAAGTAAAAAAAATTATAAAAAAAGAAAACTTTTCATGCAATATGAATGGAAAACTTTCTAAAAACTTTCTAAAAGAGCTCATTTACCCATTCTCTCTTATCTTATGAGATGTTAGCCCTTATTAAGGCATTTTCTCATCCATATGTCGTCCAAAGCAATAATGCATATTACCTTTAAAAAAAGATAGGATTGACCAAAATTTCAGTTTTTGATTTATTTTTCACAATATATGATCTACTTTGATTTTAAAAAAGTTTACATTATAGAAACTGAGGATACTGAAATATTATATTTAAATATTTTTATATTTTATATCTTTGAACATCAGAAAATAAGTGATTAATAATACATGTTTCATAATAAAAATTAAAAAGAGAAGCATAAATAAAACAACTTTCCTCATTTTTCTTTATTTATTCCCAATGTGAGATTCCATAATTTTATGTAAAATCCTTAGAATTTTCATATGAATCCTTCTTCTATACCAAACTACAAAAATAATCAAAATTGAACTGTAACAAGCATTTTGTTTTAATTCCTCAACCAACAAAATCAAGAGATTTAGTTCAGTGCTAAAATTTCTCTCAACCCCAACTAAATCGAACCGTTTACTCCCATAATATTATCATATGTGATCCTATCTTCCATGTGAAGCAAATAGATTGAAAAAACAGTGTACATAAAAGTAAATTTGGGAAAATGCCCCGGATCCCATTGGGGGTCACCCCCAGGACCCCAGTCCGCGATTGGCCAGATTTTTCTTTTTTCTTTTTTCTTTTTTCTTTTTTTCCTTCCAATCACCCACATGTGTGTGGGGTGGTGGGGGTTGGGGGAAGAGTAGGGGTCTCAATCACTTTTGATAGGATAAAGCACACAATAACAAAACAAAACAAATATTAGAAGTAAAAAATTAAATCTTTAGTACTATTTTAAATCATCAATCATGTCAAAAACTTATACCAATTAAAAAAGAGTAAAAATGGCATACATTAAGTTAATTATATATACAACAAAGAATACATGGATGAAGAAAATTGAAGCCTCAAATGATATTTGGTATTGGTACCACCAAACATACAATTAAAAGGACCTAGTCTTCTAGCTATAGCAAGGCTACCAAAGAATATGTCCGCCACACCCCTAATTAAAAACAGTCTCTCAAAACCCTAACCATCAAATTTGCCCACACAATCCATCTTTTTTATTTTTTTTTGCTTTTGCTTTAGACTGGCAAACCATGTCCTCATGACTAAACAAAAAGGCATCACTGTTTGTCTCTCAATCATGCATCTTTCTTTACTAAAAAAATTTTAAGTTGTATTTGAATCTTAAATTTGTCAATTTAAAAATATATAAAAAAAAATAGAATCTAAATTTTTTCTCTTTTTGGCTAGGTTAGGTAAATAAAACGAAAATGAATATATATTTATAAAAAAAAAAATAGTTATTTTGTTTAGTTGCATATAAAGAAAATGAATTTGTACAAGCAATTAATTCTTTTTTTTTTCTTTAATTGTTTCCTCAATGAAACCGGACTAGTCTAAAGTTAGGTCAGACTTTTGATTAATGTTTAATTAAATTTTGGGTAAATTATATTAATCTCTCCTAAGATTTAAAAAAAAATACAATAAATCCCACAATTTTTGTATAATTATATTGGCCTCTTCTAAGATTTTATTCAAATAATACTTGGCTCCATTTTATTCAATAATCCATTAGTTATATAGATGTAAAATGTGTAATTTTTCTTGTTTATCTTTTATATTTACATACCACTTGTATTAATTTCGGTTCCTTTAGCCTTATTTAAAGAGAAGTGTAATTATTTCAAAATTATAAAACTTTATTTTTTTCAAGACTTCAAGAGATGTTAGTGTAAAGTTAGTACGTATAAATAATTCTATTTCTCTTTTCCTTTTCCTTTCTCTCTCTCAGTTAATCAAGGAGTCAAACGCAATTTAAAGTTAGATCAGATATTTTCAATAATTTTGATTAATATGTAATTAAAGATTGATAACTTAGCTTTAAAGTCTTTAGTAGAAAGATTAGGGAATCTATAATGGATTTACCCAAACATGTCTACAAGGTCCTTTTGACCATGTTAGTGAAACCCTTTTTGTTCCAAGGTTGGTGCCTTCTTTTACCTCATAAAAATGGTGAAAAAAGGGTCCCCACGTAATCCATGCTGACATGTCAGAATACCATTGGTTGTTTCATATTTATTTACAATATAAACACAAAGCTAAACACAAACTTTATGGGCCGTATATAAAATTAATTAAGTTTCTAACTTTATATCAAGTGTTCAACTTTACATATAGTGTTCAAACTTCAAACAGTTAATCGAATCTCAGCTCCCCTCACATGATTAAAATTATGACAAATTTCAATTTACCTTTTCTAATTTCAGCCATATGCGATTCACCCTTTATCATTTTTTTTTTAAATAAAAATAAAAATAAAAATAATAATAATAATAATAATAATAATAATAATATAAAAAAAATCACATAATTCACTTGTGATTTAAGGATTGAATTGAAATGTCACACCTATGTTCAAATTTAACTAATTTAACTACAAAGTTATTTTTAAACAAGTTTTAACGAACTAAACCTGACTCAAACTCAAATAGTTTGATTTATTTTAATCTTACCAAAACTAGCCAGGCACATACAAAAGTGCACACAGGCACACCCAACGCCTGATCTTCATGAACAATACTAAACACAACTTTTTTTAATTTCAACAATACTAAATACATGAAACAACATCTCACTCCCTGAATTAATATAGAAACCGTATGTGATCACGATACATGAAGATTTTGGATTTCAATCCGTAATTTGTCAAGTTCTTTCTCAACGTCTTTTAATTTCTCTTGAGTCTCCGAAAGTTCGTTTAAACTACACTCTGCTAAATCTTGGTATGGCTGGCCAATGAGTTTCACAAAGTTTTCTAGATTCTCAGTTGTCTCCAAGAGATCCTTCTGCATTGCTTCTTCTAGTTCCCGAGCCAAGCCATCAGCAGTCCTTTTCACTTTGTCTACCATCCTTTGTCTACGGGCTGGGAAGTTCGAAATTGCCAATAATCTACATCAAAAACATTAGGTATACAAGTTAGAAATTGTCCCAAACGATTAAGCAGTTAGGAATTTGATCCAGCATTGCATATTAAGTTAAAACACATTTATTAAATTTCATCACCTTTTAACCTCAAAAGGCAGTGGACAAATCTCCAATTTTGTTTCAATTTCCTTTTTTTGCAAGCATATCACGCCCCATTCAACCTCAAAAAAACAAAATTCATCAACAATACCTTCTTTCTACAAAGGACAATAGAAATGATTCCAACCTTACCCAATTTCAGCCACTAAAGAATAAAGGGTTTAGCTCATACAACGGGAAATACCGAACAGGGGTTTCGTAAAGGTCAAACCCACCACACGCTAACCCCCAAAGAGGTGGAGGACCTGATCTACTCATTTAAGGAGTACAAAACCGATGTGAGAACTCTTGGAGAATTAAAGAAGTTCAAATGCACATCTTACAATGCAATAAAAAGAGTTTTCTAAACACTACCCCTCCTTTTTCTAATTTTACATGTGCTTGCAAGCAACAGAAGTCACAGTATTTTCCAAGTGTATAGACATATCGTATGCTCAAAGCACTAATGAATGACCATTTTATGTTATTGACAAGTGAATAATCCGCAGGATACTAGATACCTATCTGGCAATCTGCAGTATAACTTTCACAAAAAAGAATGGAAAACAAAATCTATTTCTTTACATCATTTGGCAATCAAAAATCTTATACTAGTCCTCATATCCGTCACGTTTCCTTAAAATTCACAAAAGAATACACTATTGTGAATATATATATATATATAATTGAGAATGGTTACTGTATACAACACTTAGAATGATAATGAGGATTTATCCTCATGCAGTCAAAAAGAACTACTATTACATTCATAAGAATCATAACTAGCTCATCACAATCCAACTAAATCATCTAAACGAGCTCAAATCCATCATGTCGCATTCAAGATAAATTTGCATACCAGTACCCTTTCCCATCTCCCATAATACAGCCATTCAAGTTTGACTAGTGTTTCCACCTTTTTTTCCTTTTTTTAAAGAAAATATAAATAAATAAATAAAAACAATATTTCTACTTCCATGGCATTGGCCAAACAGCTCATTCTCCGGATGTAAGCTTAAAAAGATTCGATTATGCTGACATTAGTTCATTACTATTATGATAGGCTGGTTAGGAAACATATATAATTGGATCAATTGCATAGAATTGGAAAGGGAAAAAAATGACTTCCTATATATCAACAAAAATCAGGCACACAGGCTTCAGCACTCAGAGTGTACAGAAAGGAAAATGAGGTAACTTAAATTAAGGGGATAGGCACCTACCCGCCAGCAGAACAAAGGCCAAGAGCAAGAAGATCTTCTACTGTGGTAGGTAGCACAGATGTCAGAAGTGATGCAGATAGACCAGCTGCTCCTAATCCACCAAAAGTACCCAAAAACTGAAAATAAAAGAGCGTGCTTAGCATCAGGTTTATTTACTGTTTCAGGAGTATAAAATTGTTGCACTTGCTAACAAAGTAACCTATAAATGCTAACATTTTGGGAGGGTCAGAAACCATTTAAGGACAAGACCACTTCCGATTACACCTTTTTAAGATTACTTTAATCTATGTTTCAATTAACCAGGATAGCAGGAAAATAAAAAGAAAGAAAATAACAGTCAAGATCTCAAGTCAACAGCCAGATCAAGCTCTTCAGTTCGTAAGATACTAATTTTCCATTTATTTTTTCATGTCTTCACAGCATTAAGCAAATTCATCATTAAAGTAATTCCCGAAAGAAGCCACTATTGCCGATTTTCCTTCTAAGAATTTAATACTAGTTATTAATGGAAAAAAGTATCAAGACAAAGTTGCAAAATGTCAACAGTTTCCATGATCTTACAAATCAACAACAATCAACATATAAGAATCTAGAAATTACTATTGCATTTACAAGAAATTATTTGTCCTTCACTTAAACAAAAACAAAAACAAAAAAACAAAAAACAAAAAACAAAAAAAGAAAGAAAGAAAGATAGGTGGCGGGAGGATGGAAAGAAGAAAGAAGGAAATAGTATTCAAAAGCCCTGCAATCAAATAAACAGCTTGGCCAAGTTATATGGCCCTTGATAGCAGGTTCACCAGGTCTGGGGATTGAACTCCAGCTCCCCAAACCCACAATATGGTGTACTGATGTCCTTGCATGACAAAAAACAAAAAGGGAAAAAAAGCTTCAATCCATACAAGTATTAACTCCCCTTCACCTCTCATCCCTCTTTCTCTCTCTACCCCTTATTTTCGTGGCTCTCTCTCTCTCTCTCTAAACAATATTGATGTTCTTCAATCACTCCTGTTGGAGAGCTTGACATGTAATGTTTTGGAACTAGTGGTGACCTGACCAAATATGATATCAGAGCTCAGGTTACGAGAGATTTTGGATTTATTTTCTCCGTTTGTATTTGTTTTCTCATTTCCATTTTGTTTCTCCACATGATTAGATGTGTTTGCATCTCTACGTGCAATAAGGGATTGCATGTGACAAAAGGTGTTGTGGAGCTTACTATGCGTTGTTGCCCCTGTTGCCTAACAGCTTAAGCTTTTGGCATTAAAGGTGACAACTCCTATGTTTTTGTTTTTCTGCAATGGATATGATCATGTGCATCACACAGCAGACCTCCCAGCACATATGTATGTCAAGAGAAGTTTATTTGAAACAAGTTCATCAATAATAAGTCAACTTCTTATGCAATAAGAAAACTTCCATTTGTCAAATAAAGAATTTCAAACTCACAACTTCACGAATTTCTTGCTCAAACAGTTTGGAAGCAGCAGCAGCACTGAAATTCTCTATCACTTTTACACTCTCTTCAGATTTTCTCATCAGCAACTCACTGCTCCCCAATTGAGCCTGTTTCTGTGGATCAACTAGTGAAGGCCATCTTTTCTCAAAAGATTCCTTATACAGCCTTCCTTCGCGGGTATTGCTTGATTGCAACCATGTCAAATATTCCCCAAGTAGTTTCTACATGTCATGGCAATATTCACAAAAAACAAAACGTTGAAGTCAGATCTATCTAACAGCCTAAAACCAGATCTTCCACGGAAACACGATTAGCAAAGAAAAATAGACACAAGGAATTATTATGATGCAAGCATTAGTAAAATGCAGCTTCTTTAGCCAAAAATCTGTAACCTGAACAGAGCCTTAGGTGTTACGAACCTACAACCCAACAAACTTAAGACTAGCTTCAGTTGTCCCAAAAAAGAGAAGTAGAAAACAAAAATTGCAACTGGCATTCTCATGATTAACAACCATGGATATAATAATAAATTTATTAACTTCTCTTAAAAAAAAAAATCAAAGTAACAACTATTTTTTTCTTTAAACTAGGCCATTCAACGGTACTTTATTGACCATTAGAAGTTAGTCTTCTTGAAAGTAGATAAATATGTACTGTAGACTAAAGCTCAAGGTTTAAGCTTTACATTCTCCTAAATTATGTTTTCATTAGTATCAAATATATATATACAGAAGACAATTATGGAAGAGTATGTAAAGTTTATAAGCACATAAAGATATTGTTAATTTTAGAGCTCAACTCAAATCCCAAACAGGTTAGAACCATTCACTTACTTGTGCATCAGAAAGTGCAGGACCAATAATGTCATTTCGAGTAATTGAGGTGGCGGGCATTGGAGCAGATTTCTCTTTGAAAGCATATGAGGCAACAAGATCAAGATTTGATAATTGTAGAGTTGATTCTATAACCTTGACAATACGTGCAAGTGTACTGTCAATCTGCAATTTTACACATGTAATTTCATAAATAAAATTCAGGACAAAACAACAAAAAAGATTTACAAATATTGTTAGAGCCATAGATTGGTTACAAAGATTTGACACCAGAAGTTTGCATCCTGCTGGTAATATTTTGGAGTCTAAGAAACATACCAGTGATAAAGTCTGTCTCTTCCACGAAATGCTCCCACTTTCCATCTTCATTGCATACTCTTTCACACTATCAACTAGTTCATTTACTGATATCAAGTCCTGCTTGGCACACTGGCACTTTTTTTTCACAAGCTCCTGGCAAGCAGAAAGCAGTTGTTCTGCAATTGCAATAGGTGTTTCTAGCTTGAGCTTCATTCTTTCAATTCCCGTACTTGTTGACCCATCTAAAAAACTATACAAAAACTTTTCAAATTCATAGAAACTACTGGTTCTCCAATGAGGATCAGTCGTAGATAGTTCTTCATTCTCTTTTTGAACATGGTAGGAAGCTGAAAGTTTTGCTTCGAGGGCAGATCGTGCAGATACAGGATATATTGTCACCTTTTCTAAATTAAGCAACTTCTGGGTATTTTCCTTGACAAAAACAATAGCTTCCTCGAGCTGCATCAAATCATGTAAAAGAATTGAAGATCAGAATAACTTCATTAGCAAACCTAAAGCAGGGAAAATTGTTCATTCTTTATAGTCCCTCTTACAAGAAATCCCTTTGAATAAAATTTACAATCAAACTAGAGAATGCATAATTAACCTCATTAGAATTCTGATAGAGATCAGATTTATTCAACACAAACACAACTTTTTTCTTCCACTGCTGAGTGTAACGGAGAAAAGAAACCTGGAAAGCACCACAAATGGAGCCACAATTAGTAAATAAATAACAAAACATGTTACATTAACTTCAATACTAAAATGGACAATACATAATATGCTCTTATAACAAGAGAATATAGACAATGGTGATTACAAAATTTCACCACCAAAAAGGACTGTTAACCTGCATGACTGAAATTTTCTAATAAATCACCAAACTAAGAAGTTTCAATTTCACACAAGAGCATGCCTCCACTAACTTTATGTTTTGGGGAATTTAAATTTTCTAGCCAAATCAGATGAGCTGGCAGATCCACCTTGTCAAGTCACCAATTATCCCAAAAGCTTAAGCTATTAGGAAATGGACCTAACAATGTATATCAGCTATTCAACACACCAAACCAAACCAAACCAAGCCTTAAGTCCCATCAAATGGGGTTGGCTACATGAATCCTTCTTCTCCACGCGGCCCTATCAAAGGCCATTTCGTTAGTCAAATTAAATAGATTCATATCTCTATATACAATGCTAGCTAACGTTAATCTAAGTCTACCCCGTCCTCTAATACTACCATCTACCGTTACAGTAAAATGAAGATAGCATCAAATCTTCTCATCACCATTATGGCAACTAGTTATTTCCACAAACAAAATAGAGAAGGGTATGAGAGAGAGAGAAAGAGAACTGTTATGACGCCACGTTTAAGCACATAGTAGCAATCCACATGTGGATAGCTCTTCTACTCAATTATCAATATTATTTCGGTGTCCGAGTTCAAACATTATAGGTCTTGATGAGATCTCTAATGTGACACAAAAGGCACCAAAAACAACAGGAAATACTAGATTCCCAAGCTAAACACCCGCAAGAATAACAGATAACAGACCAACAGCAAAGGGAAAAAAATGTAATAAAGTAAATAAAACTATGCATTTATATATATAAAGAAAAGAAAAAAAAAAGCATTGCATTCCTTGACTAATTTAATACAAACTTTTACCAGAGGGAAAACATGCCAAAAATAATCCAAAGAAAAAATTAAAAAATAAAATTACTAGACTCCAAAAGTACTGTAAGTTTGGGTGGCATCTAAGAAATATTTAGCAAGTCAATCCCAAAACAGAAATTATGCTGACCAAAAATAACATTAATTTTCTATTTGGGAAATTCGATAAAATATGGGTTAAAAAAGCTTGGAATCCTAATTTATCAAAACTATAGGAAAACAAAGGAAGTGTGAAATCCACAACTACAGAGTACCAAGAGGAGATATTATTACAACACCGACTAGTAAAAAGTGGCACCTACTCAACTTAAGCCACATTGCTAAGAAGAACAACTGAATTTTCCGAAATCATAAAAAGCCCATGCATTGGTTACCAATGCAGCAAAGCACTGTCCCTTATATCAGAGAACAACGACCACCGAAGTTGCATATTTATTGTGATAAAAAAATGTAAGCCTTCTTGGTAATTGATACGGGGTTTTACGCATAAAGACAGTACAATCAAAATGTGTCCTTGCAATCAAGCAATTTGAGCCAGTACTTAAACAGGTATAAATGCATTTGGACAAAACAAACCTAATTGCATGCAAGCTTTTCCGACCTATGTGGAGACCACTAGTTGCTTGACATACTTCAGCTTATTGATGGAATGTAAATAAGAGTAAAATATAATGTTGACAAACAAGTACATAAATTAGTACATAAAGGCACAAAAACAGGACATTTTACTGTTTCCAAAAATATCTATTCGACTTTCCAAAACATCCGCAAGAATTGAAGTCAACCTGTTTTCTTTTTAAAATTTTTGCTCTTTTAATTTCTCAAAACAAGTAAATAAAGTGTCATCAATATACTGATACCCAAAGGCCAACTAAAATTTACTTCCAGATACAAACTTATTATTGTTAAATGCATAATCAATCTTTCTTTTTCCTTTTTTTTTTTTTTTTTTATAATTACTTGTACGCCAAGAAGGAATCGCAAAAGCTGCAATGATCTAATCAAATCGCAAAAGCTGCAATGATCTAATCCTTTGTCTTCCTAACTATAAAAGCATGAAATCGCTTGTCATGCCACATTTATAGATGCCACTAAATCATACCTCACTGTCAGTTAATGGGCGATCAGCAGACATAACAAAAAGAAGCAAATCTGCACGGGGCACAAATTCCTCAGTCAGGCGTTGTTGCCGTTGAAGAATCACATTAGTTCCGGGTGTATCAACAATATTCATCTGATAAAAGATATTAAAACAAATTAGTTTCCTTTATATAGCGCCATTATTACCATAAGAAGAGGATGATATTGAGAACGTGTCTTAGAGCAGCAGGTGTAACCGAGACAGGGAAACACGACATAAGAAGTATATACGCATGTAGTGAACACAGTACTGGGCAGGTGTGTCTTGTTCAATCACCATCTAATCTGTTATTTTCTTGCTAGATCAAGCCAACACAATTCTACTCTAGTATTCATCAGCTGATGCAGTCTGTCTCTTTTCCTTTTTGGCCAATTTAGCATCCAAACCAGGTGATTTGATACAATCAATGTACAGTTATCTTAGAAAAATACACTACCCATCGTTTTTGCAACTCACTGAACTCCCCATTTGTGCATGGTTACTTGGTGACTTCACTGATTATCTGAATGTTATGTTTAAGACTAGTACAAAAATACACTACCCATCATTTTGCATTTATTTACAACTCACTGAATTCCCCTTTTTGCATCCTTACCTGAGTTACTTAACTGATTTATCCGCATGTTATGTTCAAGAATAAAAACAGTATAGTACAGGTGATAGATAATTATGATGATCATAACAACAATCAACAATCAACAATCAACATGCAAATAATTCACTGGTACAAAGGAATTTACAACTCACTGAATTCCCCCTTTTTGCATCCTTACTGAGTTACTTAACTGATTTATCCGCATGTTATGTTCAAGAATAAAAACAGTATAGTACAGGTGATAGATAATTATGATGATCATAACAACAATCAACAATCAACAATCAACAATCAACATGCAAATAATTCACTGGTACAAAGGAATTTCCCTTGCCATCCAATGACACATGCACACCATTATATAAATGCCTCAACCAAAAACTCATTAGGCAGAAGAGCTAATTTGGAAAGTGGTTATTACCAGCCTTCCTCTAGAGGCCCATATAAAAGTGAATTGTGACTTTAGATTATATACTAAACCAAACATAAGTACATAGTTTATCATCTTGCACCTTCAATTGCATTGTGCTTGTTTTCATTAGGAATGGAAACATTTAGGAACCAAATTCAAGGCCAAAATCCAGGAAAATTTAGAGAAACTCACTTCTTTAAGAATTGGAGCAGGTAAATAACATATGTATTGACCATCCGGATGCCTTTCACAACGTTGTTGCTGGTTAGATTCCAACTCAGAATAACGTAAGAAAGTGATCTCATTTGTTGTGGGAACAACCCCATCTTTTAAATATTTATTTCCAAGTAGTGCATTAATGACGGTTGATTTGCCGGAGTTGAACTCACCCTGGTGACATCAAGAAAGATACCCCCTCATGAAAGAATTTTTTTTAAAAAGAGAAATAAATAAAACAAGGAACCAAAACAGCAAGTTCTCAGAAAGTAAACAGCACAACTAACAAACAGATCTAAATGCAGCAATGCCATTTTTGGTAATACATAATCAACCATTTTAAGGGAAACTACATGTCAAACAATACCCTGGCAGATCTAGCCATCACAAAAATAAAAAATGAAAAAAAAACATACTGTAGTGAAATTTTCACTGGTCCTAGTCTCAATAAGCAACAGAATTAGGTAATATAGAGAATGTCTGCCTCGGCTATTTAACCAAGGTTGAGGCGGAGGCTGTGCAAACCAGTCTGAAACCGCCGAAAATCCTTTGAAAAAACTCTTCCGTTTCTGAGAAAGAGATTCTGGAACACTCTGTTGCCATTCTGTAACCAACCTTTCTCTGAAACACTCAGCAACCCATAACATGGCCTCGTCTTCCCGTTCAGCTACCCAGAATATGGCCTCTTCGTCCCGTGGTCTGCTCACTCTTTTTCCCGACCTCAACGAGTCAACAAGAGAGATAACTGGTGCGGTGGCACTGGAACCTCAACCAAGCGCCTCTGGTTTTGCTCCGTTGAACTTTCCGATGCAGTCGGTCGGTGGAGCAAAAAATGGCAGTGCAAACTGATATTGAGGCCCAATCAGTATACTTTGAAGTATGTGTGGAGACCATGACGGCGGTCAAAACCTGTCGCACCGCTGCAGGTAGGACAAATGAGGTGCAGCAGTTAAAACGCCCAACGGCTCTGCTTGCCAGCGCATGTATAAGGATGCGCGAGCAGAGATAAGTGTGCTAAAGGCGGAAAATAAGGAGCTGAAGCGGAAGGCAAACTGTTATGTTCCGATTTGGAGGTCCGCCATATGCTGAGTGGAGGAGCAGGGGGGAGTGAATGCTGCTCGGTGGATAGGAAGCACAGAGGCAGCACCGTCAAGGACCACCCAGGACGGAGGCAAAAAGAAAGAGCCCGCGGCAGAGTAGGGAAGAAAAATCCCGCTATGTGGATGTGGTTGTTGGTGTGGGCTTTTTTTTTTTTTTTTTTTTTGGGGTGTAAAATGTGATCGGGTGAGCCGGCGACCGATGAATAAAATTGAGTTTGGTGTGCAGTTCGTCCTTCTACTGCTGTTTTTTTTTTTTTTTTTTTTTTGGCAAAGAAAGAATGAATAAAAAGTTTCTTTGGCCCACGTTTGGTTGATGATGAAAGTTGGGATGATATTATATTATTTTGAAGTCGGTTGTCATGTGGTGGATAATATTAATTTATTATAATAAAATATTTAATTAATAATAAATATATTAATAATAACTTATATATTATTTTAATTAATTTTTTATATTAAATATTATTATTTATTATATTATTATTATATATTTATATTAATAAATTAATTATATATATTATTATTTATATTTATATTTATATAATAGTATATTATAATTTAATATTATAATTATTTATATAATATATTATATTAATTTAATTTATTATAAATTAATATATTTAATAATAAAATATATAATAATTTAATATAAAATAATAATTAAACAATATATTATTATTATTATTATAATATTAAATAAAATTAAATAGATAAATTATTTTATTATAATATTATATATAAATTTTATTTAATTATATTTTTTATATATTTTTAATATTTTATAATTATAAATAATAATTATAATATTTTTATATAATTATTTATTATTTATAATATATTATATATAATATATTATAATAATATATATATTATTTAATAATATTATAATTGATAATTTATTTAAATTATATTTATTATATATAAATATATTTATAATTATATTATAGTGATTAATTATTATAATAAATAATTTATTTACTATATTATTTATTTATTATATTTAATATAATTTTAATTAATTTATATTATTATTATATTATTTTAATATAATTTATTTATTTAATTATAATATATTAAATATAATAAAATAAAATATTATTTTAATAGTAAATAAATATTATTATTATATTATTTATATATTATTATAAATATTTTAATTTATTAATAAGAGTAATATTAAATATAAAATTTTTTAATATATTAATTTAATGATTATATATAATTATTATAATAAATTATATATATTCTAAATAGTTTAATTTATATATAATATTTTAAAAGTGAATATAATTTATTAATTATTATTTATATATTATATTAAGATATAAATTATTATTATAAATATTATTTATATATTATATAAATAATTATATTAGTATATAAAATTATTATATAATATATAAATTTTTATAATTATTAATAATTTTATAATATATATAAAATATATATTCTTATTATTTTATATATTATTAAAATTCAATAATTTTTTTAATTTTAATTAAATTTCATTACTGAGTATAGAAAAATATAATTATTATATTATTTTAATTGATTATATATAAGATAATAATATTAATTATAATTAAATATTTTATTATATAATAGATATTAAAATTTTATATTATAAAAATATTATATTTTTATATATTTATATATTATATATTAATATATATTATATTAATATAAAAATAATATATAATATTATTTATATAATAATATATTTAAATATAATATATAATTAATTATTATTATTAAATTACAATATAAAATTTATTATTATTATTATTGTTTTTATAATGTTTAATAAAAGTATTGAGTATATGATATATATTTATATAATTATAATATATAATTTATTATATTATTAAAAATTATGATATATTATTAAATAATTAATTATATTATATACTTTAATTA